CACCCACTGCCTTAGGCAAGGCTGGGGGGCGCTTAGCTGGTGGTAGTCACTTGGCTTGGCCTGGAGCCTCCTAGCAGGGACTAGATTAGGATTTGTTGTTGGGTGGGAGGAGGGGGGTGATAGTAACCGAAATGCTGATAATGGACTTCACTGAAGGACGAGACACTGGTTCTGAGTGGCCCCCCTGGCAACAGGCTGGGCTGTGTTACCTCAGTCTGTCCTTCTCATTTAGTTTTCAGGGCCCCTGTCCCCAAGTTACAGAGGAGACCGAGGCCGGGGAGGGCCAGTCAAGGCCTGAGCGGCTCAATGAGTGAGGTGCCTGCCAGGCGCCAGCCATGTCCCCATTGAAGAGGGAGGCACAGTCCCTCATCTCCGGGAGGAGGAAATATGAGAAGTCATCATAAAAGTGGTTGGGAAAATAATTTTTTAAAATTGTGAATGTAAAAAAATTAATGCGAAAAAAAGCCACCAAAAGTAAACCTACTAAATTTCTGTTATTGGTTCATTGCATTCAAAATGTATAAAAACAATTTATCTTAATAGTGTTAAGATGAACAATTCACTTAATCATTTTCCTACCACAGTTAAATTTTTAATAAGGGATTTACTGACAGTTTATTCTCTTAAAAACCTCAACAGAACACAGTGGGTTTTTTCAGTGTAACATTTACTTACCACAATGGGAGCTGGAGGGTGAAAGAGCCAGGAGAAACCCCGGTTAAGGGTTGGGAGGTGGTCACTGATGGGGCCGCGGTCCCTTCCCCGGCTAGTATCTGTGTCAGTGACACTCGGTCCAGAGCCGGCACAGGTCGGCGTGGGCTCTTAAATGTGGGGGCAAGAGTGAGGGGATCTGGGGACTCAATCAGGCCTCGCTCCTTTGCCATGTGGCAGGATGTCAGCGTCGTCAGCCAAAGATGTCAGGCTGGGAAGGCAGGGGGCTCATCTGCTCCAAGAACCAGGCCCCACCTTGTCCATCCCCCCTGTGTCAGTGGCCACGAGGGTGACCGGCCCCTGGCCTCAGAGTGTGTCTGATCATCTGCTCTGTGCTGTGGAGGGGCCGCAGCCTGCCTCTCCCTGCCACCATTGCCACTTAATGATTGTGTGTGTAATTATTATGTTCAGTGTCCCTCTTCCCCACTCAAGGTCTGGCTCCAGGAAGAGGGCTGTGGCTGTCTTATCCACGGCTGGATCTCCAAAGCCCTGCGTGGTGCTTGACACATAGCAGGGGCCAAAGACTACCTGTCAAATGAGCAAATTGACACATGGTAATATCTGAATATGGAACAGGCCATGGGGCTCAGAAAACACACTGAAACCAGCAAGGAGCCCAGCCCCCTCAGTTCAGGGTGGGCAAGTGAGGTGGGGACTTCGTGTTTAGAATCAGGAGAGCTCTGGCCGGGTGGCTCAGTGGTTGGAGCATCATCCCATACACCGAAAGTTTTCAGGTTTGATTCCCAGTCAGGACACATACCCAGGTTTCAAGTCTGATCCCTGGTTGGGGGAGGTGACCGATCAATGTTTCTCTCTCTCCCTTCCTCTCTCTCTAAAAATCAATAAACATTTCCTTGTGTGAGGATAAAAATAAAATAGATTCAGGAGAAGCAGACTTCCAGTCCTGGCTCTGCTGCTCCAAAGCTGTGAGACTGAGGGCAATGAATTGACCTCTCTGACCTGTGATGCCCTTCCACAGAGAAGGCCCTCCTATTTGCTCCCTCAGAACTGCTTTATCTGTAAATAAACGTGCAGTGGATGAAGAAGAGGCATTTGGGCAGGGTCCAAGAGGGTGCACAGGAATTGTCCAGGTGGATGAAAGGGGAAGGGCAACCTGAGCAGAGGGAACAGCATATGTGAAGGTGGAGGACCTGATGAGAGAGTTGTAGGAGTTGAGATTGGTTGACAGGTAACTAGAGTGAGGCTGTAAGTGAGGGGGTTGTAGGGAGGGGAAGGGAGAGGCAGACAGATGCCAGGCCAAGCAGGGCTTCTGACACAGGCTAAAATGTCCTCTGAGGGCACTGGAGAGCCATGGAGGGCTCTAGAGGCTGGCAGAGGCAGGGTCAGCCCTGGGTGTAGCGAGGCCCTGGAGATGGACTGAGGGGAAAGACTGGAGGCCGGGCAGGCTGAGCCCTGAGCTGAGCTGTCGGGATGGAGAGAAAAAGATGGCTGTGAGACACGGAAAAGGGGCAGAACTGCCACGCTTGCCAGCTGACCCCATGGACAATGCCCTAGGTGGTGTGTGGTTCAAGGCTGCAGGCCCGCTTTTGACAGGGAAGGTGGACCAAAAGGGGACTGGAAAGTGGACCAATGCATTCATTGGCTGATTCTTGTATGTGCCCTGACTGGGGATAGAACCACAACTCTGGTGTATCTGGAATCTGCCCTGGCCAAGTAGCTGGTTAGAGAGTCATCCAAAATGTTAGAGAGTCAGCTCAAATGTATCTCTTCATCTGCCTTTTGCACCCTGAGCAAGAACCTTCCTTCAGGCAAGGTGCCAGGTTGTTTTCTGAATTCCTAGGAATTGTCCTAGGAATACACAGTGAATACACCCCAATTATGATCAAAGAGGACCCCCCCAAGATGGGAGATTCCAAGAGGGACCACTTTTAAATTCACTCTTACAAAACCCAAAACCTGAGTGTGCACGGCTGGACTCCAGGTCCGGGAGCTGAGCCCCAGACCCCTGCCTCCCCAAAGGGCCTGTCTCAGGAGAGACACAGGCATCTGGGTGTAGCTGAGCTTGAGGCAGGGGCCAGGACTTCCTCTGAGCAGGTGACCCCTGAGGTGGGTGTTCAAGGCAGAAGGGAGATAGCCAGAAAAGACAGTGTTCCTGGCAGAGGGAACATCAAGCACAGAGGCGGAGAGGCAGCAGAGTTTGCTGTGTTCATTTGGGGAACTGCTAGAACAGGAGGAGGATGCGGGAAGCATGGGGGAAAGTCATGCCAGGCCGATGAGCTTTTCGAGGGCAGGGACTGTGTCTTATTATGGGATGGACCATCCCAGTTAGTGATCTTGGTCTGCTGCAGGATGTGGAGTGAAGAATCTAGCTCTGGAAGGGATGGGGGCTCTGGGAGGGACAAGATGCTGTGGGTAGGAACAGACCTTCTGGGGCTGGGTGGCCAGTCATACTCTCCCACCAACAGAGACGGAGAGCTGGGGCCCCTCTGCCCCATGCTGTGCTAGCGACCTGGTGCTTATTATCATTGTTACGAGTGCCCCTGATCACTGTCTCCTCTCCCCCATCCCAGGTGATCCGGACGGACACCTTCAAGCATCTCCGTCACCTGGAGATCCTGCAGCTGAGCAAGAACCTGGTGCGCAAGATTGAGGTGGGCGCCTTCAACGGGCTGCCCAGCCTGAACACACTGGAGCTGTTCGACAACCGGCTGACAACGGTGCCCACGCAGGCCTTTGAGTACCTGTCCAAGCTGCGGGAGCTCTGGCTGCGCAACAACCCCATAGAGAGCATCCCCTCCTATGCCTTCAACCGGGTGCCCTCCCTGCGGCGCCTCGACCTGGGCGAGCTCAAGCGGCTGGAGTACATCTCGGAGGCGGCCTTCGAGGGCCTTGTCAACCTGCGCTACCTCAACCTGGGCATGTGCAACCTCAAGGACATCCCCAACCTGACAGCCCTGGTGCGCCTGGAGGAACTGGAGCTGTCGGGCAACCGGCTGGACCTGATCCGCCCGGGCTCCTTCCAGGGCCTCACCAGCCTACGCAAGCTGTGGCTCATGCATGCCCAGGTGGCCACCATCGAGCGCAATGCCTTCGATGACCTCAAGTCGCTGGAGGAGCTCAACCTGTCCCACAACAACCTGATGTCGCTGCCCCACGACCTCTTCACACCCCTGCACCGCCTCGAGCGCGTGCACCTCAACCACAACCCCTGGCACTGCAACTGTGACGTGCTCTGGCTCAGCTGGTGGCTCAAGGAGACGGTGCCCAGCAACACGACCTGCTGTGCCCGCTGCCACGCGCCTGCAGGCCTCAAGGGCCGCTATATCGGAGAGCTGGACCAGTCGCACTTCACTTGCTACGCGCCCGTCATCGTGGAGCCGCCCACGGACCTCAACGTCACCGAGGGCATGGCCGCTGAGCTCAAGTGCCGCACGGGCACCTCCATGACCTCAGTGAACTGGCTGACGCCCAACGGCACCCTCATGACCCACGGCTCCTACCGCGTGCGCATCTCCGTCCTGCACGACGGCACGCTCAACTTTACCAATGTCACCGTGCAGGACACGGGCCAGTACACGTGCATGGTGACGAACTCGGCCGGCAACACCACGGCCTCGGCCACGCTCAATGTCTCGGCCGTGGACCCCGTGGCGGCCGG